ACTTTAAATTAATAGTTCAAGGTGGAATATCTTGAAACAAAATCCTAAATCAAGTTTAAAATTCTTGATTCAAGTAAGTTTAACTAGTTTTGAAATTCCTTTGCAGTGTGGAGGAGAGATCTTGCATAACCTGTTACTGTTAAAAATTGAATCAATAGTAAAAATATGTTTTATTGGCTGATATTTTCCAGTTTTCTTATTAAAATGCTGCATTGTGGCACTGACCGGCGTGGCTTGATATTCCTCTGCAAGGAAGCGCTGGGTTCTTTTCACCACGGACGGATCAGAACCCATGAAGGGAAGAGCGTACTCCTGGATCTCATTACTGTAGAACAGCGCTCCCCTACAAACATGCAGACAGGTCACATTTTATGAACACTTACTGAGAAGGATTATTAAATTGTAACAATATTATTGATTATTAAATAGCTTTTTTCAGATTTCCTGCTTGTCCTCAGAATGCCTGCAATTTCAATAAATATCAAGTTTTAGAGTCTAAACCAACTGAGAATCACCTCAGTTGTGGAAAAATGCCATTTATGATTATCAGACTCATTTTTGTACTTCTACATGTCCAGCTATAGAAAGGAGAATATGTCAATGACACTGTTACTACTAACAATAATAGAGATTTAACCTAAAGAAATGTCTAGTTCAATGGAGTAAAAATATTAAGTGAAACATTGTAGCTCTGATCAGGCTCATTTTCCTGCCCCAGTCTCAACTCTTTTTCAATCTTTAACATATTTTCTCCCACCATTGCCCCGTATTGTCTTCTGAGGATAACGTTTTGGTGAGAATAAAACGGAAGCGACTGTACCTGCGCCGCAGCTTGGATCCGACGGTGGGCAGAGGTTTGTGGTTAAACTTCCTTCTTAGACTCTGGAGATTCTGGCTGTCGGCGAAGCCGTAGATGGCCGACTGCCACGTCCCGTCATGGATACACCCACCCTGACGGATGAACACAGACAGACAAGTCCTGATGAAGTACAAGGCAGACATATCACGAACAAGAACAACAAAAATTAGAACAAGACTGAAACATCAAGCTGGCTCAGTACACAGACTTATGGGTAATGTAGTATCTGACGTACCTCAGGTCCCATGCTGACAGTCAGAAAGCTCTCCACAGCAGTCAGGGTGCCTGTTCACACAGGCAGGTTAGCATGATGCTAATGGTGAGCACTGCAAAAACAGTTTCTAGTGCAAATATCTACGTACACATGATATAAAACAAAACTAACTCACAAGTAATATTTCTGGAAGATATAGGAGCTTGTTTTAAGTCAAGAAGGTAATGGCTGGATTAAATATGCATTTACTGAATCTGTTCAGATCAGTATATCAGGTCTTACCCTTGAACTGATCTCGTGTGTAGATGACTCCCATGTCTGCAGGAATGGAGTCAAAGCCACAGCTTCCAATGACAAAGACGCCTTTCTCTGCCGCCTGGCTGCTGTAGTTCAGCTGCATGCCCTCCAAAAACTGTCCGACAAAAACACCCAGAAAAAAAACACTCCAGTGATTCTCATATACTGCATTTAATTTAACATATTTTTAAACGCAATGAATATTAAAGGTGACCTATTACACTTCCTTGAACAGGTTAGGATAGGTTTATAAAAAACCTATTACATTTATAAAATCATTCTGATAAAATGAGATTTCCATCTGCTTAGTTCTGTCCGTTTTCAGCTCCTGTCAGAATGAGCTTGTTTAGGGCATCCTGTCACTTTAAATCCAAATAAGCTGCTGCTTATTAAGATTTAATAAGCAGCAGTGTAAACAACGTTTACACTCACACATAAAAATAGCTGCAAACAGATGCACAATTATTGAACCGTACATCTTTGAAAAGCAGAAGTGGAGCCTCCTGCACAACCAGCAAGAATGCAGCAAGTGGTTTCTGGATGGTAAGTCAAAAACAAAACGCTTGTCTCTTCTAGCAGCCATTGTACAGTGAATACAGCAGTAAAACCAGCAGACCAAACATGCTGGAGCTCCAGTTTGGTTGCTAGGTGACAGCGCAGTGCACATCGGTTGGGTCTTGATATCCGGAAGGTTTCTGAAATGGCTCCTTTTCCAAACATTAATTTATTACTATAAAAACTGCTGGATGTTTTTTTAAAGCGCTTGTGCTGTTTTTACAAAGAGCTGAAACCCAAATGGAAGTAAAATAAAATGCGCAAAATGTGAAATTTGCATAGCAGGTCCCATTTAAAAAAAAAGTTAAACACAGATTTAGTTTTAATCGATCTCATCTTAATGTAATGGAGAAGAACCAAAAGAGAGAAACCTTAAATTAGCCTGTGTGTCAGCAGGACTTGTTGAACCCCGTCCAACAGGCAGAGAGCAGCTGCTGTCATGTGGCTGAGTTAGAAATAATTTCATCCTAACCGGCTGCAGCATGAGAATCAGCGTGTCTCCAATTTAATCCAAACAAACAGCTTCAAAGATGAATGTCAGGACATCTACAGGGCAGCACATGTTTCCAGCACGAAGGTCTCACTTAATCTGATTTAAAAAATATTAATCTCCAATCAGTTTTTGAAAAACTTGTAAAAAGATGTTTGAACAATCAGTAGCTAATATCTGCACCAAACTTTCTAAATCGACGGCTAACATCCCATAAACTGAAAATCTTCAGAGGCCAAACTTTGCTTTTTCTCTCCAGTCAAAAACACAAAACTAATATTATTGTGAATCATGTATTGTTTACCTGCAAAATAATAAACTAATCAAGTAATATTTCGATGAAACTAACAATTAGTATGACGTTTGCCTTAATATTTACAGGTATTTCAACTTTTTGGGCCATTTATTTTCAATTTTGTTGGTCTGTAAAAGGAGCATTTACTTTTAAAAACTTTGCTGTGCTCAGCTGGATATGATGGATGAGTAAGAAGTCATTCATCATGTCTTGGAAAAAATGCTAATAAAGATAACAAAATTCAGTTTAAAAACATCAACTCACTACAGAAATCTCATCCTATAACAATTACAAAACTGTCCAAATTTGCAGCTTTCTTCCTCCACAGTCGGGGCCACACAAAATTATTCCAAGGGCCATAAATGGCCCATGCGCCACACTTTGGACAACCCTGGTCTACATGCAGACTGAGATTAAAGAAAACAACACCATCAGGGGGGCGTTGCGCTAACCTGCGGCTCTCCAGAGATGTCGATGTGGTGCGCTCCGTTCTCCACGCAGGCTTTGACCACGGGCTCGCCAAAGAACCGGTACTGTGAACACAAAGACGGACAGAACCTCATCCACACCCTTCTCACACTTCAACAACACTTCAGTCCGTCTCCACCTGGTACAACTGGGCTAGTCCAGAAATAAAAGCCTGTCCTATCAGGTAAGAAACTTTGGTGTTGACTACCACCCCCAGTTAAAATTCAACATAAAGTTTCTATTCCAACATTTCTTTATTCATGAGATTTCTCTTCAGTTTTGTCATTTTCTTAGCCTGCCTTGTTGACTTGTTCATAAATAGATTCTCTAAGTGCCTTGAGATAACTTTTTTTGTAGATTATCACAATAAAAATAAATTTAATTGAATAAATCAATCATTCATTTAACTTATTTTCCTACATGCGCCGACTGTAGACAATGGACTTTAGCATTAGCAGCTATCAGAACCATCAGCAGATGTAATAAAACTTGGAGTCGTTGACCGGTTTAGCTCAGTGACTTTATTTAAAGCTGTTAGAAATCTCTCTAATGGCTGATGCATTTTATTTAAATACCAAAATGCAAACATCTCAACTAAGGATTTACAGCTGATGCTCACCAGAAACTGCTGACTGTCCTTTAAAACTGAAACATGGAGACACTTTAAATGTTTATAGTAGAATTTAGGGCTGAAACTAATAATTATTCTAATAATCAGTTAATCTATCAAATGTTGGACAATTAACTGGCACTTTTCTGCCCATTTTTCATTTAAGCATTTAGGTTTTTTTATTAAATACAATCAGAAATACATTAAAAGATGCTAATTTTTGTATAGTTTTATTTTAATTAGTGCTCTGACTGTTCTTTCAGCAAAATGGCCTTTTTTTGAGTCTGTATTGCTTACTAAATTAGTTGATAGTTTTTTAAATAAATCGATTAATCATGTTAGACCTAATTGAATTCTATAAAACTTTGACAAATGGCTCCAGTTCTAGTGACAAAGATGATCTAACATGTCACTGAATGCTGTTCACAAGATTTTTTCTATTTTCAGTAAATGTTTTAACAATAACAGTTGTTTTGCATTAAACTAAACATTAACTGTGTCTGAACAGTGTTGTAGTCAGAGTGACAGATTAATAATCAGATTATTATGGGATGCTTGGAGCCTTCTGAAGTGATGAACATCTGGTTTAAATGCAGCTGGACTGACTAACTTGAATAACAAGTTTCAGTCCTACCAACAAACACTCCTAGTTCTTCGGAAACCACAATCTCCAAAACAAATAAAAAATGTTAAAATGTGATTTTTTTCTCTCTAGGGAATAAAAATGTGATACAATTTAGGCTCATTGCAGAAGATGAGCTGTTTTTGATTCCACTGTTTTGCCGGAGTCTGAGCCATCTTGGTGCAAAACACAAAACTGCTACAGTAGAAATGACTCTGGCTGCTTTACAATAAAGCTTGTTGTGTGCTGCAGGCAGCGTCTCTCCCTGCCAGAGAAGGCTGCTCTGTGTTTCCTCTGTGCATGCGACGCCGCAGCCACAGAGGAAAACAGAAAGCAGGCGGGCAAGATGAAGCGCTGCGCTTACGCCAGGAGAAGATGCCAACGTGTCAGAGTGGAGCAACAAAGTGAAATGAAGAATTAAATTCTCTGAAACAAACAAATACAAACATTTCTTTGGAGCCAAACGCTTACCGGGCCGACGCAGTTCAGAACGATCACGGCCTGCTTGCACATGGCTGCCAGGGAGTCGGGTTCGCCTACGTCTGCCACGATCACGTCCACCTCTGTCCGGAGCTCAGGCTTACCTGTGAACAGAAACACACCTGAACCGCGGAGCAACACTTGGATTTAGATTAAAAACCAAACATCAGCGTTTATCTGGCCGTTTGGACAAAAGCTGCAAGGAAAAACGGGTGAAAAAAAAAACACAACACCCTCAAGATGTGTAGACGGATAAACATCGTTTATGATGAATTAAGGATGAGTATTTATTGTGTCGTTTGTTATTTAACGTGAAAAAGTTTGATTGTTTGACAAAGCTGTCCGTACTGTTGGGATTGTTAATTTTACTACATTGCTTTTTCATTTCAATAAATATCAATGAATTTGAAAAATATGATGAAATACATTTCCTGTGAGCAGTTCAGTGATTCACACTTCTTTATGTGACTGGAGTAAAGAAGCACATTCAGTCACCTAGAGAAGAATTAATAAATACTTATCACAGCAGTCTTATAAAATACTATGATAAAACTTTAAGTCCCTGTCAGGATTCTTCTTCATGCTCTTTCTTGTTTTTGGTAAATAAAATACAAATGTTTTGTCCGAGACGACATTTCTGTACAGGAATTCAAAATAAAAAAGAAAAAGAACAAGATTGAAGAAGACAAATTCAAAATCTAATGTGAAAAATACTCAAACAACTCTTTAAAAACTTTTCTCCAGTGATGCTTTTTCACCTTTTAATCTTTTTAAGTCATATTTTTCAGATTTTCTTCCTGTAGGTTTCTCTAATGCTTTTTGATTTTGAGCTGATATTTTACATATTTTCAGTTCAAATTGTGAAACTACGAGAGCATATTGCCCTGCTGTCAGTTGAATTAAGTGGAGGAAAACAGGAAGTGAAGGGCTTTTAATCTAATATAATGTTTAAAATGATCAGCTCACTGCCAGGGAAGAGTGAGCTACTCAGCTGAAACATCGAGTATTTCTCTGTGGATTAAAACTAATGAAAACCCGACTTCATAAGAACATTTAAAATGAACATAAATCAACATTTTATGTGAGGAATGTCATCTTATAAACATCATACTTTTCAGAACATTAACATATTTTACAACAAACCTGCATTTCTTTTTTAAAACATTCAAATAAAGTGAAGAACTGAATTTTGGATTTCAGGAATTAATCGTGGAAATTCATTAAATTAATTAGAAATAAAACAGTTAAAACACATAACCATGTTTGTAAATAATCTGACCATGTGCTTAACATTTTGATTTTCTTCCAGGTGAGAGAAGCACAATGGATTAATTATATATTTTTAGTATCTTGAATTAAGGCAAATCTTTCCTGTCAAGATGGCTCTTAAAAAAATATGTAGACTTTCAAAACATTGCTAAAAAATTATGCAAAATATAAAAAAATATATCCAACTTCATGCTGAAAATAAGCAAAACTAATTTGTAAATTAACTTACAAATTACAATTAACAAATCTTGTAAATTTTAACATTTTGATAAAGGAATGAATGAATGTTTAACTCATGGAAAAGCAACTTCCATGCGTAGATTACAACACCCTGTAATGTAAGTTTTCATACCTCTACAATAAATTCAAATTAAAGCTTATTTGACCGGTTCAGAGAATAAACAAAGGACTCATAAAGATGTTGGGCATCGACCACATTCAGAGAGCGATTCACCTGGTCCAATAAAAATGTACATTTCAACACAAACCTAAAGCAGGTAAGCCTAAAAGACGTGAGGCGAAATGCAAATGACTGAATTACAGGAATGTTTTGTGAAGGCTTGACTGTCAGATTACTTAAACTTAGTGAGAACAAAACAACAAAAACATGAATCATAAAAGCTGCTTTTCAGTCGGTTCTGTTTCTGTTTGAAAATAAATACAATGTAAATGAAAGAGAAACGGCAGAGATGATTAATGGGTCGGATCTAATGTTCTGGACGAAGCCTTGGAGGAGTTACTATAGTAACAGCTATGCCAGTTATTACAAATATGCTTCTGTAGAAGTCTGAGGTGTCTGCAAGGCAAAGGACGCATTTTTCTTCCAACCAGATAACTTCAGCTCCAACCAGATAACTTAACTTTCAACCAGATAACTTCAGCTCCAACCAGATAACTTAACTTCCAACCAGATAACTTCAGCTCCAACCAGATAACTTAACTTCCAACCAGATAACTTAACTTCCAACCAGATAACTTCAGCTCCAACCAGATAACTTAACTTCCAACCAGATAACTTAACTTTCAACCAGATAACTTAACTTCCAACCAGATAACTTAACTTCCAACCAGTTAACTTAACTTCCAACCAGATAACTGCGGTGGGACAGGCCGGCATCAGGAGCTGGTATGTCCCCTCAGCTGTCGAAGAGGAGGAGGCCAGTGAATTGCCCTCTAATCCTCTGGAAACTTTTGTTACCAGGATGATAAATTAATAGCTCCTGCTCCAGATTTGCAACTGGAATGGATTTTCCATCAGTCTGGTTGGCATTACTCCATGTCATAATTTCATTAAATGTAATTACTGGGAATGTAATTCCTGTTTTTGTTGAAAATGAAAAATAAAACAACTTAGTAACTGATTTATTACTGAAATTATGAGTTGTAATACTTTTCAATTGATTAGCAAATGAAAAGCTAAAGGAATGCATGAACATGGTAGATAAATATTCTTATAATGCAATAGTCTATCTTCTGAAAAGTAAATATTCATTATCTGTAAGTTATTGTTATAATAATAGAAATAAAAGCTTTAAAACATCAACATGTGTGTAAATACTCTACATTTTTGTGAAATCAGATATTTTTTTAAATATTTGCGATCAGGAAAAAGTGTAGCATATAAATAAAAAAATTATTATCCAATGAACAGAATAAAAAATAGATATCAGTTTAGAAATTAACATTACAGCCAATTAAAAATCTGATTTTTTTTTAAAGGCGATCGTAATCAGGGACATAAAGTGTACATTATTTTGTATAAGATAATATTGCTGTTTTGTTTTGCTTTATCTCACATGTGCATGTTTAAAATGGAGTCTAATGCTCAACATATATACACTATTACCACTTTTATTTCATGTGTCTATTTTAATGCAGTTTATAACAGGGTCAAAGTCATGTCCAACTGTTCAGTCTGCATGAATTGCTTCATCACCTTGAGTTAAGCAACATCTCTGAATCAACCCTTCCACACCAACTAGAATACTTTCTATTTGTCTAAAAATGAACAAACTGAACTAATAGTCATAGTCACTGCATTAAAAACAATCTGCACAACTAATGTGACTGATCGGATACATACCTAGGACTTCAGCGGCCTGCTCCAGAACTTTTTCCAGCTTCTGCTTGCTCCTGCCAGCCACGGCCCACTTCAGGCTCCCTTTGGGTCCCTCGGACGCCGTCCGGGCTACCTCCTCCACCACAAACTGCCCCGTGAAGCCAGAGGCTCCGAAGATGACCAGATGGTACGGCCTGTTGGAGGTTGTCTCTACCCGCGCCATGGTACCAGCAGACACTCAGACAAACAGAAGAAGCTTACTGCGACACCTTTACACTCCAACTGTCACAATGAAGGGGGCTGAGCTGCCCGCTGCGCTTTTCACAGCGCTGCTTTCTCTACTTCCGTAGCCAAACTATGCTAATATGCTAACAGAAAGTTGCAACAGACACGCGCATGACAAAGAGGTTTCATATAAAGAAAACGTGTCATATTTTTGCATTATTCATCACGTTTATTTTTCTAACGAATCGTAAATTTGATCGAAACTCGTCTTGCTTTCTTAAAATTTTCCAACATTGATATTATGTTAGCAGAACGACTTCCTCAGGCTTCTGATTGGTGCTTGTAAACATGTGACGCCCTGTCAGCGTCAGGATCATACGTCAACCTTTCCGCCATGTTGTAAGTGGCATGTTGCTTAGGAAAAAAATACAGCTCTTCTCCGATTTATTTTATGTTCCTTAAATACTTTAAAATTGGCAGCTATCATTATATATATATATATATATATATATATATATATATATATATATATATATATATATATATATATATATATATATATATATATAAGCATTTATTTATGATTATGATTATTTAAATATGCCATTGATAGTATTACCAGGGAATATATTGAATTTAGGGCTGCACAGTGGCGCAGATGGTAGCTCTGCCATGCAGCAAAAAGTTCTGTTTGACTCTTTCTGCATGGAGTTTGCATGTTCAAATGATTTTTTTTAAATAACTGAAATACAACGTTAAGAAAAATACATTAACAGTTCACACATATATCTTAATGCTACGCTAAAAAAAATATGTGTGTTGCTCTGCATTTTATCAAGCAAACATATATCTTACAAACATATAAATACTTACAAATGGGGTTTCCCCGATTGTAAAACGTATACAGTGCATTCATTGTGTTCATGACCTGTTTATCTTCAATTCTTGTTGACAAGGTTACCGGAGAAATACGTCAAAGATAGTCTGCCACTCAGAGTGCTCACACTACAAAATAACAAAGATCGTTTGTAACACATATATCGCATTCTTTTCCTTTCTTAGCATGCATACAGTGATACAATTTTCGAACTGTATGAACTTATTTACTAACTTATTAATGTAACTTATTTCCACTATAAAATGGAGAGTATTTGACTGAATGGCGTCGGAGTGAAACTACTCTACCAGGTTTAATAGGTTTATTGTATTTTCTGTGCAGATTAAACTATTTGAGTGAACATTGAAGAAACATAAAAATAATGTAAATTCTTTCATGGCATGCCTCACTGAATAATACATGCAGACTTCAAATTATTTTAACTGATTTCTCATATAACTAATTGAACGAGATGATGCTAGGAAGTAAAATGACTACATTAAAATAATTTTATTTTTTATTATTGGCGTCTATACGTAACTAAGAGAATTGATGTCTTGCCACAGATAGTATAAGATTAAGTCAAGTACAATGTTAGCACACTTTCAATATAAAAAATAGAAATCCATTGAGCGAATTGTATTGTGTATTTTTGGCAACGGACATACTCTGCCACTCAAAATATGGCTGTCGCGCTGAGGCCGGTAACCGTCACTGGAGAGTGACGTAAATCCCATGCGCCTGCGGCACCACGAGTGTTGCAAAAACATCTTGCGCAGAGGGTCAGGATGCAGCTCAATGTCACTCCGCTTTACTGCCGATATCAGGTACGGAGGGACGTTTTGACTCACTGATCCCGTCCGGAACACAAATACCGGACCATCTACGAAGAGGTTAGCGGGAGGTCAGTGTTAACGTTTTTGTGATAACATCGGTATTTCCTGTAGCACTCTAGGGACGCAAAAGCACGGCTAGCCAAGCTAGCTAACTTAAATAGCAGTTTGTTAACGTTAATACGCAGTTTGTCTGTCTTTAATAGTAACAATAGGGAACTTGGCTGTGCTCATTTTCGAAGTCATTTTGTTTCTGAGAAGTTCTGTTAGCAATAGCAACTTGCTAATTAAATGTACTGAATTTGGCACTTCTAGAGTTTTAGTAGCTTTAATTGTCTTAGCTTCAACTCATTTACCCTTATTTATCCATTTACTTGTAAATATTATGCTTAGCCACATAATAAGTTGATGCTTAAACGGGTAAAAGACATAATGCAGATTGAGAAAAGGACGAAACATGTGCTTCCAGTTAAGTGTTACATATTCCTTCAATCCAAGTTTTCTCTTGTATCTTAGTTTTCTTTTTAGGCTGCGACATTTCACAAAGGTCTCTTCCCTACCTTCCATCGTGCTTTTATGTCTGCTGATCCACCATGGCCACTCAGATTTGTAGAGTGCTGGAGCTGATGGTGCGCTCCTCTTGCTGCCACACCATTAGAAGTAGATCATGTCTGCGAAAGGCAGTGCTGGCCCCAACAACCTCAGTCCCTGGGGGCTCTAATCTTCCTAAAAGGGCCTACAGCCTTGACTCTTTTGGTCCCGGTCGGCCCTCGATGGGTCCCAGTTCACATCAGCCCCGTTCAGAGAGAACATCCCCCTCGTCAATGCTGGCACAGAGGAACCTGTCTGCAGCAGCTGTACAGGTTGGTAATTTGTTTTATTAGACTCTAGCCTTTTATTTCTTTACATTTTTTTTCTTTTTAAGTGACGCCATTCTTAACCCACAGGTTTAATTTAGAAATGCATCTTTTTCACACATTAAGCATAAAATATGTAAAGAAGACAGTCATTTTCAATGTAGTGAATATTAATAAACCTGATGTGTTTATAGACTGAACATGATGCAAGTTTAGTTTTCATATGTTTTATAAATAGGTAAAAATATATATATATATATTCTGAGCGATATGACTGTTATGAAGTTAACAGTTTCATTTTTTTCACTCTTCGTTGGCATTTGTTCAGTTAGTCACAGTGCATATCTTTTTCGCAGGGCCAGTTTCGTCCTTTGTGCCGCTACGACTACCTGGATCTCGGGGAGGTGGAGGAAAACCTACGCCGTGCACAGGCTTCTAAAATAATGAGACACTTCATAGTTAATCCAGATCTGGCCAATGTGGTCGCACAGCATTTGGTGCCTGACCTGCAGGACGCTAAGACCATCATCTTCGAATGTAATCCAGGTGAGAAGCAGCAGATCTGTGATGTAGCCTTTGTGTTAGGGCTGACATCAGAATAATCGTGATGAATTGATTATTGGGATGATTGTCAACTAATCTAGTAACTGATTAATTGTTAATTAAAGTAAATTAATTCAAAGAAAGGCTATTTGCTGAAATAGCAACATACTCAGAGCAGTAATTAAGGCAAAACTGTACAAAAAAATTATAGATGTTTAATTTAAGATTAAATAAACCTCCTTTGTCTAGAAATATGTTTAACCCAGAACTTTTCAAGTGCATAGATTTGATTCACTTGGTTCAAATTCTGTAAACAAGCAAATTCTTGACACTTTTTAAATCAGTTAATCCAAAAAATATTCAGCAGATCAATAGATTGTATAGATGTTAAGTCAATCAGAAAGGATTTTTCACATGTTGATGCTAGAAGTACATTATTTAACCACAGATGCATATTTTGCTCCAAGTGATCTACTACTATGTTGCTACTACAGGAATACTGTGTTATTACATTTTAGGCAATTTTTGCATCTTTCACTGTATTTCTGATATTGTATAAAAATGGCTCAAGTAGTTAAATTAAAAAACTTCACATATGCCAATTTTTTTTTATCGGACTAATCATCTGAATAATTGATTACTAAATACTTATTGGCTGCAGTGCTACTTTGTAGAAGATTTACAGTTCGGTTTGTTGTGAATGTCTCGTTTGCAGGTCCTGGTGTTTTGACCAAAGCTCTGCTGAATGCTGGAGCTCAGAGAGTCGTTGCTCTGGAGCGAGACCGGACCTTCTTACCTGACCTCCAGGTAAATTCCCTTCCTCTCGGGATCACATTCTTTCTCACCTCTTTTAAACATACTTAGTTACTGACAAATTCATTTTTGGTAGGATGTATTTTTTAAGGTAAGGTATTGATGAGGTAAGGTATTGATTTGTGTTTCAGGAGCTGGAGTCGCGTCTTGATGGTCAGCTGGAGGTGGTTCACTGCGACTACTTCAGGCTGGACCCCATCGGCAACGGCAACGTGAAACCTCCGACCATGTTTACTGATAAACTGTTCACCGACCTGGGAATATCGGAGTCTGCCTGGACTGATGGTGAGGAGAAAAAGATGCAGATTTTACTGACGACTCCTGCATAGGTTGAAGGAACGACTTCCAAATGCTTCCTTTCCTTATTATGGGCATGGTATCGGTATCGCCCGATAGCAGCTGTCAAATTTAATATCGGACATCGGCCATTCCGTCAAATTAACTTGCAGATGTGAGTGTTTGTGTGTGTCTGTTTTCAAAAAGCTGAAAAGCATTTGTTGTTGTGTGTATTTGTGGGTCTGTGCAGACGTCCCTGTGAAGGTGGTGGGGTTCCTGCCAGAGCGTAACGGGCGTGGCACGCTGCTGAAGATGGTTTACGCTCTGTTTGAGCGATTGTCTGTCTACAGATACGGAAGAATAGAGCTGAACCTCTTCATCAGCGAGAGGGAGTACACGGTAAATATTAAAAATAATAAATGTGTTTGTCTCTATAACGTTTGATGCAGATTTTAAACAGGCATTTCTACACTTTGTTGTTGGCATGAGGTTTGGTTATGAACTGATCTAATGGTTGTGTAAAACCTGTTTGTTAATCCATCAGAAACTGATGTCGCGTCCCGGTGAAATGATCTTCTACAGAGCCTTCGGCGTCCTCTGGCAGATGGCGTGTGATATCCAACTTCTGCACAAGGTACGCTTCTCCTTTAAGTTAGTGCCTGCGGTTTTTATCTTTTGTGTTCCTGTTGGCCATTTGCACGTGGCGTAGCGACATAAATCATGTGGCGTGAATTCAGGTAAAATCGGTAATTTGATCAATACCTCAGGAGGGAGGAGGTACGGGTCGGTTTCTAAGCTAGCTGTTTCGTAAATCCGTCTATGAGCCCCAACCAGGTGTGTTACGTTCACAGACAAATTAGCTCGACTCGAACAAGTGGAGCAACGAGTGAACTGACAAAAACAACTTTGGAAAACAGTTTCAGTCACTCAGTCAATACTCCTGATTCTCATTTCCGACATCCATCATGGCGCCTCGAATGATTAAGTGACGTAGCAGCCATGACATGAGATTCTCACTGTATGAAAACTTTCAATAGAAATACTGTGGCTCTATTGTAATACTGTAATATCTGCATTAACACAAAAATATATTAAAAAAAACTTATTTAATCCAAAAAGAAATCAATACCCCCGCTGCTGCCCAATAAATATGATTATTAAGATTATTACAGTAAAATATTATCTGTAGCATTTATATCTGGTAACGTAAGTATAATAAGTTAATGTTAGTTTCTGAGTTTCTGCCTTGCTGCTTGGACTGACTTATCAGATCTGCCTCTTATACCTTAAAACAGTGACGCTCTTTTAGTTTCCAGTCTTTTTGTTGCCTAGTTTCAGCCACCTGACTAACAGTGTGCAGCCATGTAATTAACCTGTGAGGACTATCAACATTTTTGCTAATAACAATGATGTGCCAGTAATGTTTTTTTAAACGGTATAACCTACAAAAATGATTTGAAAATATAATAAAAGCAGCTGATATGTGAGGATGCATGAAAACAACTGGCTTTCTTGGAAAATAGATGATTTTTGGCTGTTTTTATGCAGTTTGCTGACATATAAATATGTAGATAGATTTATTCTATCTACATATAGAATAAATATGTAGATAGAATATCTATATATTCAATCTACATATTCAGGCAAAATCTGTAATTTGATCAATACCTGAGGAGGGAGGAGGTACGGGTCTGATTTACTGCTTATTTGGATTTACTGTCCAAATAAGCAGTAAATCATTTGATCATTTGATATAATAAAAAAAATGAGTGAGATCAATTTGTTTCTATATTTTGAGTAATATTTAAAGTGATGTTGTGCTTTAATATTGTTGAAAACATTTGACATAAAGTAATAGTTTTTTTTTTAAACAAAAGTCATTTTTCCCTGTCTGAACCTCATTATTAATGTTTTCAAAAGCAATTTTGTTTTTTTTTAACACTTCATAATCTATTGTATTTATAATTTCGGTTCTTCTGTTTAGTTACTTTGGATATTTAAAATGTTGTCCAGCTCTAGTATTAAATGTTCTTTGGAAATTAAAGTTTAAAACCAGGAATAACAGGGTGGAAAACTAGTTTGAGTTGTGAAGCTGTAACTTTTTAAAACCTTTCTGTACCTTCATGCCGGTAACTGATCCATGTCTGCAACGCATCATGACATCAGAGAGGAAACGTCTGTTGATATTTCATTCCTCCACCTCCTTATCTGTGTGTTCAGGAGCCCTGGGAGTCGTTTACTGTGTCTTCAAGGCAGAGTGCGCGCAACTCCAAGAGCAAGGTAACAGAGCCAGTCCATTAGCAGCAGTGATGTAAACATTTAAAGTGTTTAATGCAACATTTGGCCTTTTTCTCTCCCTGTAGCTTCCAAACGATCACCTGTGCCTGGTTCGCCTGCGTCCCCGGGCCGACCTGTTCTCCTCAGGCCTCACGCCCTCCAACGCCTCAACTCTGCTGATGATGGTCAAACAGTGTTTGGCGAAACGGAAGGTCAAGCTCATCGACAGGCTCAAGTAAGCAGACGGCATCAGGCGAAGCTAGCGTTCACGTCACACAAGCAGCATCACATCCTCACACCTTGAGGAAAACCTCAAGGTGTGAGGCTTTCCAAGTGTGGAAAGTGTGGAAAGGTGTGATCCATGATTATTGGTTCTATTTATTTTTTTGCACAAAATTATTCTTAGATAATGAGATTTTAGTCTTAATATTTTTTTAGTTTATTACGTTTGTAAACTGTGGAATACTTATTACTTTAGACCAACATTTAGCTTAATATCAGAGCAAGAGAAACTCCTGTTAGTTTATTACTGAGCAACCCAGAACAAGAATCAAACATGGAGAACCAACATTTAGTTTTATACCCGACTAATCCAGAACAAACTTAAGGTCCAGGGAAACCCCTACTAGTTTCTAAATTATGGACTGCTTATTCTTATTAAACATGGGGAACCAACATGTAGTTTTATATTTTACTTTTTTGTCTTTCTTTTGGTTTTGTTTGTATTTCCTTCTAATTCATGTAAGCCATTGTACAGCCCATACAGACCAATTCAATTCAATTTACTTATAGGGAACCATTTCATAATAAATGATGTCATCTCAAGGCACTTAACAATATATTCAGATGTGCTGAAGTTCCCTTAGGGTTGCTAGGTAACGGACTAGGGTTGCTAGGTAACGGACTAGGGTTGCTAGGTAACGGTGCAGTGACCTTTGATTGTGAGGTTTTTGAAATGGCTAATTTTCAAGACACCAAAAAACATGAACTTACTGTGAACAAACAGTTGGATGGTTTCTTTTAAGTGCTTACACTGTGTTTAGAAGCAATTAGGATCCAAATGGAAGTATTAGAAGCATGTTTTTAATCATTTTGTTCATCTTGTCAAAGCATGTGTGGTTTTCTTTCACCATGCCTCTTATTTGTTTGATTTTTTTTTTTTTTAGTGTGTGGTCACCTGACAGTGGGAGCAAACTGTTATCAGACTTGGGCTTGCCAGAGGACATCCTGACTGGAAACGTTTATCCAGACGAGTATCTTCAACTTTTCCAGCTGATGGACAAGAGTCAGGAGTTCACACAGAGCTGGCTTTATGAGGAGATCCTGGAGAACACACAGCGGGAGGGCTGGGGCTAAAATAACAACACAACTAAACATGTGTTCAATAATCTACTGTTGTATGACGAAACAGGACAGATAAATAGCCATAGGAGAATAACAAACAATCCATCAGTTCTGTTACTGAAATAGCTTAAAAGTTTCTGCTATAAATATAATTCTTCTTATTTGTTTTACAGTGTCTTCATAGTTTGGACATAAATATACACAAACTGCGGCCCTTCATCCATCACTGCAGCTTCAGGCTGTGCAAGTGATCCCATACATCAGACATCCTAGTGTGCTTCACTTGATAACACAGCTGCTGTTTTATTTAATCAGCTTACTGCAGTGTAACAACTTGCATAGGTCTTTATATGAAGCAAACCAAGGAAAAAAGCAATGCAGTGCTGTTTCATTATATAACAGCAGCTGTTTGTATTTTTATATTTGTGAGTTCATGATTGTTTGTGCATGTGAAATCTCATGCTTTATGAAATATGTGAGTTAGATATGTTAATTTAAAAACAAAATATATCATACTTTTTATGTCTAGCCCAGGTTTTATTGGTGCTCTGTCATTTGGTCATAAATCACATTGATTAATAAAGCTATTATTTGCTTTCTTGGTCATTGACAAAGAAAATGTGATGATTTGAAGTTGTTTTGTATCATTTTTTCCACATTTTTGTCTAATTGTTTGCAGAAACCCACAGATCAGGTAGATAATCTGTTTTCAGAACAACCCTGTGCTCTCCACAAATCTGGCTTTTATGGAAGAATGTTTAAAGTCCCCAAAATGTGAAGAAAAATGACTATATCCTTGAGTAAACATGGCGGTGGCAGCATAATACTATGGGGATGCTTTTCTTCAAAAGGGCCAGAGTTATTGGATGCAGTGCAGTGGTAAATAAACTGCTAACTGGTCATAGGAAGATAGAGCCAGATCTTAAATGGTTCAGATCAAAGAGTGTGTTAGGATGAGCTAGTTTAAGTCTAGGCATAAATCTACTTTATAATTTGTGACAAGATATATAAACTGATGTTCAGGATGTTCAAATCTGAATGACCTGTTTGGAAAATTATCTGTCTCAGTGCACAAACCTGGTAGAAACAGGTCTCAATACCAGTCCTCCTTCCTCTGGACAAAAATCTACTTTTCTAAATTCCTTTTCTTTTCACACTGGGTAGTATGTGGCCCAAGGTGGTTTAGATCAAATTTGAAAGAAAAATTTCAAACTAAGAAAATATTTTTTTTTCAAAATTTCTGTTTTTTCCAGAAATTTTCAACTTTTTAAACTCAGAAAATTCCTTGCAGTAAAGACATATACTGAAATTAATTAAGAATTTCTGAGTTCTTTTCTAGCAAAATTCAAACTTTTAATTGAAACTCAAAAAAATTTCTTGTTTGTTCTAGAAACTTCCTGAGATTAAATTCAACATTTCTGAGGTTCTAGCAAATTTTTGACTTTTCAAAACTTTTTCTTGAAAATTTCTGAGATTAATCTGAAAATTTGCGTTTTTTTCTCGGACATTTTTAGACTCAAAAAATATTACTTGTTTTCTGTAGAAATTTTCTGATATTAATGTCTGAGGCTTTTTTCTTTCTTTTTCTTCCTTTTTTTTTTAGCAAAATTTAAACTTTTGAAACAAACAAAAAAATTCATCGTCTTTTCTAGAAATTTCTAGAAAATTTCTGTCTTTTTTTTGGGCGGAAATTTACAACTTCTTTCTGTATACAATGACTAACACACCGTCGCACCCTTCACATTTTTGTGCTGCTTTCTGTCACGCTAAACACAAAGTGAAACATGGACGATAGATGGCGCTAGAGCTCGTGGTCGGTGTAGCTGACACTCCGCCCGGGCCCGAGGAGAGCGGCAGCAACGACCCCTGGCTGTCTGTTTTGACTGCGGGTAGCGCTTGCATTACACTCCGTACAACAACATCCTCGGCAAGGTGTCTGATGCTGAGCTCTCCGCCCTTCAGCCTCTCTCTTCAGCCGTAAGTACGTCCTGACCGCGCTGCGTCGTAACGTTTATTCCGTTGTAGCAGTGGCACTACAGCTAGTGCGTGGAAGCGTAAAGAAAATGACGGTGCGGGTTCCTAAAGGTGGCCAGATGTGTCTCCTGTTTGGCTGGGCGCTAGCTAATGCTAGCCTGGTAGCAACATCCACTAACGTCAAGACAGACGTAGCGATTCCACATTAAATGGGTTAAAATGAAGTATTTGTTTCTAGTTCCTCTCAGAGGTTTTCCGTCTTTTTAGTGAAGCAGCACAAACCTCGTTTATTATTTCTGCTTCGTGTTTCAAGAGCAACGTTCGCAACTGACAGGTCACAAATACAACATGTTAATTGAAAGCTCAGCTGTCAGTCACGCCTGGCTTTCTAAACTGCCTGCGGACAGCTATGCGGTTTTATTTACTAAATAATCAATCTCATTCTGGAGACCTGGCATCTTATTTTGTCTGCATGCTGTGCTTTTGGATTTACGCTGAATGTAAAATACGGACATAAGGTCTGAGCTGTTCTGTTATTCATTACTGTGGCTTAGAAGATCTGAACTGTAGCCAGCATCAGCGCTCCACCCAACTGATTGGGATAGTTCAACTGCAGAGTTCAGGGCTTTTATAGCAACCTACAAGATTTCACCGAGTGTCGGCAAATTGCCAGGGGCGCACCCAGAGGGTTTGTAAAGGGGGCCAGATGTTGGTGGGACACCAAAACCAACAGACTTAACAAAAGTTTTATTAGTCATGTCAATAATAGAGCCGTACAGAATTAGGAAAATATGCAACATGGAATAATATTGGTGAGAGTTACTATGACAATATGACTTGCAATAAATAAATACATTTTTTAGACATTCCTGCTTTTGGTTGATTGTGAGTAGTTTATCCAGCTACTAGAACAGAAGTTTACCATTATTTCCAACTCAATAAGGTTTTATATCAAAGAGTTTTGGGCTTAGTTGTATTATTTTTTTTAAATAAATTGATCAATATGCTGCCTCTTTTGCTTGAAAAACATTTTCATTCTGCATTAAGCAAGTGTTAACAAATATACTGTATTAATGGCACACAGGGCTTTAAAGCATGGCACCTGAAAAATTAGCCAATATTTTTTACAGTCCAGGCAGTTCTTTGCAATATGCATATTACCCATGGTTGTATTTTCATTACGAACGTGCACAAAACTTTGTTTATATTCCACTCATGTCAACAAAACCCAATTTTGCACTTGTGGTGTTTCCATTAAATAAGAGATGCAATTAAAATATGTTTATATTTGCCTTACGTTTGTTAATGCAATAAGTCATCAAAAACATGCTGCGTCATCATCTTTGTCATTTTTGCCAGTAGTAACACGCATGATTAAAAAAAAAAGTTTCCATTGCAGTTTTGCAAATTGTACTAATTTTGATTCACCACTTCATTATAGCACAAAAACTTTTTTCATAAAAAAACCTGTTTTTTAAAAAATTGCTGTTTTTCTGTTAAGCAAATTTATTTTCATAATTCCAATTTGCACTTATTGTCAATGGAAACGCAATTAGTGACAATGCGATGATTATATATTGTGCAGCCCTTGGTACTGAGTGTCTCTATGCTAAAAATCAGTTAAATCGATAAGTTACCACATGCTTTTTTTGTAGCTTCTGGTAATGTGTCCATGTGTCCATAATTTTGAAAAGCTCTCCCTCTCTTGGTCTTTAACTTATAATCACTGTATCATTTTAAAATGTGAGTTAAGCTCTTGCAAATGACAAAACATTTGACATGAAAATGTTTTGAAAGTTTAGCTAACTTACCTCATTTTAAGAATATTTAAATGTAACTTTGTCTTTTGCTCTCCTAATTTCATGTTTTTCTATTTCTCATGGTGGTAAATCCACTCCACCAAGTCAATGTTACTTTAGTTTTTAGTGGGTGAGTTTTAACAAACAGATCGGGATATTTATCCTCCGTGTTTGTCCATTTGGCTGAAAGCCACTGTCTGCCTCTGTCCTCTTGTGTCGTGTATTATTCATGGCCCCCTGTGGTGTGAGGGCACTGATTATAAAGAAGAGAGGATGGCTGTTTGGAGACGGATGTCTCTGTGGGAGAGGATCGTTTGACGACCAGATCCTGCATAACAGAGAAACTCCTAAAACGGGTCAGAATAGCGTCTGTGATTGTGATCTTGAGGTTGCTGGAGCGTAAAACTTAAATGTCAGAGATGTTTGTCTCAGTGCGTTTGTTGGATCAGTCGCAGGCTGGAGCCGTGCTAAGTTTGTCCGTTTCTTTTAAAAGGTGAGGAAAAGCAAACAGTCGTTTCATTCAGAGGGTGTCGTCTCTTGTTAAAATATAATCTGCTTATGAAACATAGGTGGTCACAACGCGTTATGTGCGCTCACCTCCCTGTAGATGGAATAAGCTGCAGAAAACTGGGACAGCTCTGTTCCTCTGAGATCGGCTGTAATTAACCTGGATCTGCGTGTTGGGTGAGATTTCGGATTGTTTTCGTATTGAGCCTTCTCCTAAACTGGATTTTAATTTATGCCTTTATCTCCTTTTACATTATTGAGGGAATTTCCAGTACTTTTACCACCTAAAAGTTGATTTTTAAGAGATGGCCTAACCAGTTCCAGTCTAAAATCTGGGTTCGGACCAGTTGTTGAAGGGCAGGTCTAGGGGTTAGTGAAAGCTTAAAGTGGTTAATCTGGTTGTGTCAGTCTTGACTGCTGCTGAGTCAACTGTAAACAGAAGCAAGGCAGTAAGAGTGAAGAAAGAAACTGTGCTGTTGCATAATACTGATTTGCGCTTTACGTTGATTTACCTGTTCGTTCACCTGCCTGCTTTTTCCAATTCAGTTCAATTAAAAATACTTCATTGATCACAAAGGGAAATTAAATGTTGTTATTCATATTAATTCAAATTTTTCAGAGTTATTGTTGATGATGATGATGATGGCTGTTGGCAGCACAGATCTCCTGTAGCAGTCTGTGTTACAGCGGTTTTGAAGAAGCCTCTGACTGAAGACACTGTTTTTCTCTCATGAAGTAGATTATCGGGGTTGTCCATAATTTTCTTGATTTTGTGTAATCCAGGTTTATTTATCTATTCCAGATTTTCAACTAAGGAACATAACATGTGAATTAAACATGTTCCACACTGCTAAATTGAATTGAATTAAATTTGAGAAAAATGGGTCATAATTTAATGTCCAGAAAATTTTAAAACTGCCAGAAAATTTTAGCAATCAGAGTTTGGCAAAATATGCAGTTTAAGAACAGAAAAAAGTTAATACTTTTATTCCCCTGTCTTAAAAACAAAGGTGGTGAAACTCAGGACCTTAAACTTGATTACACTGCAAAAAATAAAAATAAAATAATCTTACCACACTTGAAATAAGACGAAACTAACTTGCAAGTTTTCAGCAAGAAATATGAGTTTCTTTCAAGTAAATAATTCCTTAATATTGATGAAAAGGTGCTAGCTTCACTGCCAGGTTATCTCACTTACAGCCAACACTTTTTCATAAATATTAGGGAATTATTTACCTAAATAAGCTCTTAGAAACTGGTGAAAAGCTATGTGTAAGTTAGTTTTGTCTTATTTAAAATGCACTAAGATATTTGCACTGGAAATTAGACAAAAATCCTTGGTAAGATTTTGTGTTTTTGTGATTCATCTGAGCATGTAATTATTTTCTTATGCTGCAGAGTGAATGTTTGACAGTAAAAACAGATCTTTACCAGTTAAAAGTTATAATCAGCTGGAAGAAAGCTGCAGTCATGCAGGTTTAAGACAAAAGAAAAGAGTTGGACTGTAACTTCATGTTGATAATCTCTTCTGGCTCAAAGGTTCATTTGACAGCTTGGGAATGATGCCACACTTGTTTCACATGTTTGTTTTCTGTCTAAATGGACTCAACCCTGTCGGCCATGTTTAAGCTTTGTCTGAAGTCGGGTTGTTTAGTCTCGTTTTTGTCGTCTCTGCAGGCCTGAAGAGAGGCTTCCCTGACTGCAGCCGCTGGTCCTCACTGCAGAAGCCAATGGATCATGGTGGTTACTTTTCACGTTTCTATGGTTGAATAAAAGCTCAGAGCAATTGTAGAGTAGTAATTATATGTGATTTAGAGAGAAAATAGCAGCTGAGAACAGGGGAGGTTGTTCTGGCAGCATTTTAGCGATGCTGTGGTTGCTGTTGTCTCAAGTTGCAACAGACAGTCTTTAAATAATGTACAAAGGAAAATGAGGCCCTCTCTTTCGTTTTTAAATGTATTTCTATTCTTTTCTGTACCAAGCTGATCCAATCTTTTTATCCTCAGGTCTGTTTGAGATGGAGGGCAACTCGATGTCACAAGTTCACGTTGATGGCTTTGATCTCTGTGACAACTTGTCAAACTCGGAGGCCCTCACCGCCCAAACGCAAAACCTCAATGAGACACTCGCACAAACTCTCCCTCTTCCCCAAAACGATGAGGGAGGAACGCGCAGCCCCGGCCAGAAACCCTCTCTGGGCAACAATGAGAAGGAGGAGGAAACGGGGATAGAGGGATACTCAATAGGAAGCAGAGACGTGGATGAGGAGGAAGATGTGGATGAAGTGATGAAGGAAGAAGAGGAAGAGGAGGAGGAATCTGAGGCGTCAAGTTCTTTGATATGCTGCCAATCACCAGACAATCTGATGACTGATTCCTCTTATTCAGAGACAGGTACTGCTCAAACATCCATGCTGATCGTCGTTTTGAATCTCTCCGCGTCTTTTTAGTTTTTTAAATAACAATGGTCAACAGCCAAAAAAATTGTCTGGGGTTTTTCAATTTACAGAAATCCAAATTTGTAACATTTATTTAATAGACTCCAGGGTTTCCCACAGTGTCTTTTAAGCGTGGCGGGCCACCAGGCTTTTCTTGGTGGCCCGCCAGGCTTATATGTGGTGCCACATTATTGTTTTTAGTTTTTTTTTTTTAAGTATTACCTTTTTTATAGCTGGTGTCTAGGTATTAATCTACCAATGGTGCACAACTATCAAGTGATAATATCAAAGTTCCTGTTAACTTTAAACATTGTTAAACTCAAAAACATGGCGGCCGGCTGGATGATTGCCCTAACGCCCCGAGCATCAAGGTCAACAAGCTTTCTGGGGGAAACCCTGCACTCTGTTAGAAAACAATTTTTTTCTTCTAAAACCTTTTTTGGATGATAAACATTAACAGAAATGAATTGATAATGTCACAAAAATGTAATCGATTTAGTCAGAAGATCGGATTTCTATGAATCAAGTTAGAATAAAACCTGACCAGAATGAGAAAAATGGATGTCCTTTTTGGATTCAGTTGAAAAAACATATACAACTTCCAAAAATACTTTTTTTGTAACCCAGTGTCATCTTTACAAACAAGCAATTATTCATTCAAGTAGAAAACACACACCAGCACTGAGTTATGGCTAATAAATCATAAAATGGGAATCAGCAGGTTGAAAGTATAAGAAAAAGATTTTGCAGAAATAACTTTGAAATGATGTAAAGAAAAATAAAACCTGAAACGTTACTTCAGCTCTGAACATGCAGGATTCCTTCTGCATTCCCTCATGTTATCTCACACTCCCACATATCTGCTGCTGTGGTGAGCTCTGCACGTTTTCACATTCTGGTGGCAATCACTCACCAGAGCAAAGCCGTCATAACCGAGTGAGTTTTTTTACATTAAAGAACTGCAGGAGGAGTCATGTTTAACCTTAAAATCTGATACTAAATGACTCACCAGAGTTAGCTTCACCTGGGCGTCATCTGGATAAAGCAGTGATTTAGGAGTAAATTGGGGTGAGCTTCATTAACTTTTGACAAAATATCTTAATATTAATATTTTTCATTGTTATATTGAATAATTGATTAAATATGTTCAACAACCGAAATAATTATTCACGTCTAAATTATGCTGAATGCATTGCAGCTTTTATTTTGGTATTTAAAGAACATTAAATCAGGAAATCTATAGAAAAAGCAACTGATAAAATGTACTTGTACACCTAAAACATCAACATTTATTAACAAAAACCAGCAGTTTTTCTGTAATACTATTTTAAAATATCTGTCACCATTCAGTACTTCATAAAATCTGCTTTTTGAAGGTGCAACCTGGACACTGTTGCCTTGCAGGAAGCAGATTCAGGGTTCAAATCTCAACCTATGTTCTTTCTGCATGTTATGTGGCGCGTTTAATAATCTACAATACATACAACACAGAGAAACCAAATGAGAATGCAAGATATGAAGTTGTGTTAATCTACTTATTATTGTCTAAATAGATTTGGCAGTTTATTATGTTGAGGAGAGAAAGAAAGAAAAAAGAGAGACAAGTAAAAAATTGTTTTAAATAATATGTCAGGTTTACTTCTGGGTCAGGGCTATAAATAAAGTTAATTGGGTTTAAACTCTACAAATAGTACAGAAAATGTATGAAACCTGTAGTATCGACATCCTCCAGCAGATGGCAGAAGTCAAGAATAGGAATCAGCAGGTTTTTGAAGATAGTTCCTGTTTACAGAAATCAGTAAGGAAACTTTGGCTTTTTATGGGTTAATTTTAGCATTGGGTATGTGAAGTCAGAGGAAATGTACATCTTCTGACTGTAACAGAAACACAATATGGCCTATAACTAGGCCTGTCACAATAACAAATTTTGCTGAGCGATTAATTTTCAAAAAAATTATTGCGATAAACGATAATATTGTTTCAAGACCTTTTGACACTGATTTAATGGAAATGACATAATAATACATGCGATTTCCTGCCATAGATAGATGCACTTTATTTTCAAAACAACACATAACACTGGAACCAGGGGCGCAGTAAAGGGGTGAAAAGTGATGATGATTCTAGGGGCCCTGACCAGCAGGGGGCCCTCCACAATTTAATTATTTATTTTTTTGCTCATAGCAATAAAATTAAAAAAAAAAAATCGGGGTCCTGTCAAATACAAAATTAATAATTTTGTATTTTCAAAGATTGTTTTTAGCAGTAAAAATTAAATGTTGCCCCTCCCAGACCAAAAAACACACATCCGTTTTTACCCTGAACTCCCCCCTATCTGCGTTAAATGGTTTGTTCCTGCTTGGAGCTCTTAACAATGACGTATGCAGCTACAGTCAGTAGAAGCTGCAGCTGAATACAGCGGCGACTGTGCCAGTTACTACGGCTGCTAAGAAAAGTTATAAAATCAGGTTTTNATCTGCGTTAAATGGTTCGTTCCTGCTTGGAGCTCTTAACAATGACGTATGCAGCTACAGTCAGTAGAAGCTGCAGCTGAATACAGCGGCGACTGTGCCAGTTACTACGGCTGCTAAGAAAAGTTATAAAATCAGGTTTTCAAAAACAAAATAGAGAGAGGGAGAGAGAGAAAAAAGGCAAGAGTGTTAATTTATAACCCAGTTTTTCTCCAAGAGAGGTGGGTAGACTGTGTGAGATTATCAACCATTTAGCATAATTAGCTTAGCTACAGACTACTGTTCACTAGCATTTAATGAAGGAAAAAAATATACAGTAACACTTTATTTGAAGGGGTGTGCATAAGACTGACATGACACTGTCATAAACATGACATAACATCTGTCATGAACATAAAGAAGTCTTTATGAATGTTTATGACAGTTATCATGAAGTGCCATTCGATAAATAATGACACTTTTAATGCAAAGTTGCTCTAAAAGTTGCATTGAAAGTCCATTAAAAGTGCCAACTTTGTATGATTTTGAAAATTATGATAATTTAATAACAAAAAACGCACTTGGATAAAAACTAAACAACATAAAGCCAAAGTGGAAATAAATACTGCATTCAACCAAAAGAGTGTAGATTATGAAGTCTGTATACTATAGTAACCTTCAGTAATCACTAGATTTAAATAGAGAAGACAGGCACATCCGACTACCTAATGCAGTAGTTCACACTACACGATTTTTTGCCTCTATTTTCCCCTTATGACAATCTTAGATCATTGGGTGATCTAACATTGTCGCTGGTGATTTCGTAACCGATCATCCTGTATTGTGATTTAGATCACAATAACCCCTGATCTAAATCGGGGGTTTTCCCCAACTGGGAGCTTAATGCAGCCTGTTGAATGTGACAGGTAGCCAATCTGTGTCTCTTCTGAGGGGAAATTACGGAGGGAGGGGAATCCCAAACAGTTGACACAGCGCAACCCGAAGTCCAGCGGACATTGGTGATGATATGTGGAAACAACATTAATATTTATTCAACATTTCGTGCAAAGAATATAGAAATGACAAGGGGAGGAACTGGAGCCAAATTGCTACCGCAGTTGATAAACCTGGTAACTTTTCAGCTGTTCTACATTAACATAAATAGGTTACAATGATTTTCATTCAGTCAGGACTTCACGCTGACTCTAGCCACATGCGTCACAGGTAGATTGTAGTAATTAATTGATTAATGCCTGATTTTAAAATTAGTTAACTGGATT